CCCCCCCCCCCCCCCCCCCCAATTCCAATCCTCCTCCATGGTGGAATATTTTTTGGAACAACAAAGAAACAGTGTATCTTTTTAAACTCTCCCCACCTCTTGCAAATTCCAAACACCCTCTTAAACTGAGTTTTTCACTTTCGATGAAATTGAGGTCAGATTCTGAAAAGAAGTCATTGTCTGAGTGCAGTCTGAATCAGAGTCAGAGTCTGAATCAGAATTGAAAGTAGTTCATGTTTGAAACTGGAAGTGAAAATCTCTAGTCATAAACGTACATGTATTTAATATAGCACAAGCCAAGGAAAAGGAAACTTTCAAAAACTGATACTTGTAAGCTCTTCTGAATCCAATTCCAATTCTGTTTTCTGATTTTCACTTCATAATAAGCTGCATCTGACTCTGATTCCAGTGCAAGTGAAAACTTAACATTTTAAAGATTATTTCCAGGACATGAGATTAAAGCCAGTTATTCATAGTACCTTTATCAAGCCACGAGGAAACTCTCTTGAAGGCTGCTCAACATCTTCTGAATCTAATAAATCTCTACTTCTTCTACTTGATCTGTAAGTAAAATAAATGCTTCATTTTCTCCCAAAACCTTTATTCTCTCATGCAGACTTGATTGAATGTGCACAATACTTTAGAGTATGTTTAGGGATTTGTTGAAAGTTAACTAATCTATTAAGAAAACATTTAGTGAGTTGTTTATTCTTAATTAGTTGTGCTCTATTATGTGTTTGATAGTTCATACAAATGATAGTCCACATGTTTTTAATTACCTTCGATAATTTTATTTAATCCCCACCTGCCCTGAAGATATTACCAAGTAATTGTTACTTAACTCTGACATTAAATAAAGTTTATTACTACTACTACCCCTAATATTGGATTGCCTAACTGTCTAGAATGATTAAATTAGTTTTTTGTACTGATCTGTTGAAGTTGAAAAAGACTTAAAATCCGAAATGATTCTTCACCAAAAACGAATTTTCGAAATGTAACCGAATAAATAAAAATAAGCTAGAAGTATGCACATCTAGTTTCCATTACTATGCACAGATTGAGACAAAATCTTATATTTTATAATTTTATATTTGAATGGAAGTGGTAAGAAAAACAAATTCTACAGCAGCATTGCGTATTACACAAGTTTTTGCATGCTCACACTTACCTTATGAGATAGCAACAAAATGTACAGCAAAGACCACAGACAAGAGCACCAATCAACAACACTGGGAGAGAGAAGACTATCTCTTCTGGTATACCCATAGGTGTCTTGAAAATGTTCGAGTTATATTGTTATTTCTGCAAATGAAATTCAATACTAAAGGCACTTTCCATTAAATCTGAACTGATTGGTTGGAAGGGCCAATTCTCAAATAGTATGTGTCAGTTCTTTGAGCTGAACCAACGTGGAACTGACACATACTATTTGCGAGCCAGCTGCTTAGACTGATCGGTTCAACGTAATGGAAAGTGCCCAAAACAGTACTATGCAAGCTAGAATATACCACGTGGCCATTACTGATAGACTGTTACTTTGCAAACTGCTAAATAAAATAGTAGTCCAGTGGTGCTACTTTGTGAGTGCTGGAAACCCAAGAAAGGTTGCTGTATTACTGCACAGAGCACAGAAAAAGCTTTTTTTACATTTCTTCAGCACAGCATGCACTTGAACAAGTTATTTATTTTATCATTTATATTATATGATAGATGGATTGATACATGCAATTATCTGAATCATCCTCATTGTGAAGATAAAAGTGGATAGAAAGCTTCAAAATACAAGTAAAATTTACTCTTAATCTTGCTACTTTATTTGTTAATATAATCAAACGAGACTCTTTATGAAGAATCTAGTGTAAAGATCTTGAAATTACATCTTTGCTTTACACGTATCATTCAGCATTGAACTGATGCTAATAGATACAGTTATTTCTACCAGTTCTAAAAACATTTAACTAAACGAACAACCACGTATTGCCAATATTTTTACTATGAGTAAGCTTAAATAAGTTAAAATGATCCGAAAGACAGTAATCCAATAGTGAAGGTTATGACTACCACTCTCAAGTTAACTTTTATAATGTTACATCACTAACGGTGTAGCATCAAAATATTCCGTTAAAACTCATCCTAACTACCTACACCAGCTATTTTAAAGCATATTTTTTATTTATTTAGGGATAATTTTTTTTTCATCGTCTGCAACAATCATAGCTCGTGCCAAAAATTATGAACATGCCATGTTTCGATGCACGTATGTTAAGATTTGAGTGTATTTTTGCTAAGAAAAATACCAATAAATAACGTAAATTCAAGACAAATCCATAGTTTAATATATATTATAGAATATTGCTTTATGAATATAGATGTACTTACTTTTATTTCCGTATTTTAGACTTTATTGGGCACATTTTCCCCTTGTCCTTCTCAACATAATATAGCTATATCAAAACAAACATTTTATATTACCCATAACACATCGCGCGCACTTATGTGCTATTCGAAATACTTCCGGGTGGCCGTCGGGAAGTCCTCGGAAAACGAATATTTTACACAGGACTTTAATAGTTCAAACTTCAATTCAGTGGTGGATCAAATTCTTTTGAGGCTAAAATTGTTTACAAATATCTATTCATTTTACGTAAGAAGAGGTAAACCAATTTCAAGTTTTTTTTTTTTTTTTACTCCGACGAAGGACTAGCGTCCGAAACGTCAGTAAGTTTTTTCATCTTTTCACGGTGTATAATTTACCTTTTTATCATTACAATTTCAAGTTCAGCTTGAGTAGAGTTGTCCCAACCGACCGCCTTCGAGAATAGTCACTGAGGTCAACCGACCAGGTCCGGTCTCCGGTTTTTCAATAATTAAATTTTATAAATCCTAAATTTCAGTCAAATTCAGTAGAAAAAGATCTAATCCGTAGAACCACTTGTTTTCATAACTTTATATAAGCCAGGAATACAAGAAAACAGACAATGGATCGCGTCGTCATCGATCACCCGCCATCTTTTGCCCGTGCGTAGCTGTCCTCTGTACAGGACAGTGGAGAGGTTGAGGGACCAATGAAATGTCCCTTCCCTTCCCTCTTTCAAATTCCATAGTTTAACACCGGCTCCTGACAAGAGGCTCGACCGACTCGACCGCCAATGACTCCCAATATTATTCAAGTATCAGGGACGGATCCAGGCGGATTTTGTTCAGGGAGGGGTGCTGCGCACAAAGTTAACCCAGGGAGGGGTGCAACCCTTAGAATCAAAGGGAAAAAACAGTTTTGGTTATCTTCGAAATAGGAGCACAAAGTGGAACCAGGGAGGAGTGTGCACCCCCTGCACCCCTCCCCTAGATCCGCCCCTGAGTATCCGTATTCTGAACATATGGTTTTGCGTCCAACTTTTTCCCGTTAATAATCTAATAACTCAACTTATTACAATAAAAGTGGTGGATTTTTACGCTAGCTAAATCGAGAAATAAACTAATACGTCCTTCAAGAACTAGGAGCTCGGCTAAGGTTGGGCTTGACGCCACGTCAAGATAAATTTCTAATTAAGAATATCCATCTCTAGGGATTGAAGATATTTATTATAATGTTAATAGAGAGTTTTAGATTTACGTTCATGGGCAAACGTGTAACGTCAGTTGACCATTTGAAAATAATTTTAAATCGCTTAAAAAGAATCGCAAAAAAGTCCAAGTAGTAGAAAAACAAAAGAATATTTGTCTTTGGTGAGAAGGTTTGTAAAAGGTAAAGTAAAGTACAGGAAAACGATGAAAACGTGGTCACGTTTGCCGTTTGCGGGGAGAAAAAAAGTCAATCTAAAACTCTCTAATATTAGAATTAACCGGGAACCTGACAAAGTATGAGGAAAATAGAATAACTGGTAAAGCTTGGATGAAAAATAGCTCTCTCCCTTACTTTTATCAAAGAGGTTTCTGTTTGACAAGATAAGACTCGATACAACATAGTAGTGAAAGCCAATTAGGTATTTTTGTCGTTTTCTTCTAATGCGAGTATTTTAATGTAATTAGCCGTGAAATCAGATCATGTTCAATGAAGTGCGCCATAAAACTTTTATCGTTATTTCAATCTGTGAATAATTTAGTAATGGAATATTTTTTTATGATCAAGAACTGACCTGGCTCGAGTTTTGGAATTCACAAATCAATTGTGCAACACTCGTAAAAAAGGCGGGAACGTGTATTTTTTTTAATGTGATTAGTTTGAGAACTGTCGTCCAGCTTTCTTCCTTCGGTTTTGACATCTGGTTTTTAGTTTGTGAACAGATTATGATAGCAGTGATCGAGGCGGAATCCTTTTTTAAATCATGGCATTGTGAATGGTATTACCAACAATGGATTTAGATTTTAACTCATAGCATTGAGAGAAATGACTTAAAATATAAAAAACCTGTTGGGGATTACTGTATATATAATACAATAGTGTCCAAACCAGACATGGATTTAAAAACTAGCTTCATACAAACCCTATTTTAGTTTTCGCTATGGAAAGAGGCACTGGTAGGCACTAGTGTGGTATCACATAGTTTTCCTAGCATACATCATTTACTCACAAGTACATAGGCATTAAGTCTGACATGTTTTTCTCAAATCGGACAAGACGAAATGAATCAAAATCAAATCGAACTATGTAAACATTCATATATCCATTCAAATATTTTCAGAAAACTAGTAATTACAAGAAGAGTAACCGACCCATTAGAAAAGAAGTATGGACTTCTTCGATTGCTTAATTAGATTATGACATTGCTTCATTCTTCATTATTAATTGAAAAAAATTCCAGTTGAAGTGATATGATATGTACGCGTGGCAGAGGTAAAATAGAAAATCAAAATTTTTGATTCTGTTTGAAAAAGATACTCTAGAGATAAATCCGGGATCTTATCGTCAGTTAACGTGTAAAAGATACGACGAGTTTTTTCTTCAAGGATTCCTCAAGATTTATTGTAATTTTCGTTGCTGTTTTCCCTTCGAGTTTTTGTTGTTATTATCATACACTTGTGGTATTTTGCGATACAAAGAAAGAAAAACAAATTAGTATACTTATAACACATTTTAATGATATAAAAACAACGAGATAAATAGGAGAAATTCTGAGATAGTGTCAGTTGAACTCAAGCTTTTGCGCACCATCAACACCACTACTCTAGCTCTAGCACTTTTTTGGTTTCCTACTCTCGAACCATCCTTGCACACAATTTATAGTTCCATATAAACCTCATGGGGACTAATAACCAGGTTTTTCCTACATTAAGTATAGTTTTCTCCTTTTTCCCCTATAATTAACCTTGAAATTTCCCGAAACAAACGTTCTCATTTAACCCGCTTTGAGAAAACAATTTTGAATCTTCGCCTTCACACAGCAATTTATTTCTTTTTTAAATGACGTCAATAAACTTACCCACAAACATCATTTTGAATAGTTTTTAAGAAATCTAAGAAATTTCTACCTATCTTGTTATCTTAAAAAGCTAAAACTTTTGATTACTTTACAAAGAGAATGAGATTAAATATCCATAAAGAGTGTTTACCGATGAGTACTGATATACTTCGGCAAGATGTGAGAGTACTTTAAATCAAACCAGTCTCTCTTGTCACTTGTATTGCTCTCTATTATTTTCACAAGTGATTATTGTGAAGACTGGCCGAGCAATAGATAGATTAGAGTAATAAATGATATCGGAGTTATCATGGTATATTTTCATAATCAAATTATATTTCCATTAGCCCTAAAGATAAACCAAAAGGATGAAGACTAACGATAATAAACTGCGCTGAAACACACCACGAATCAAAAGAAAAATAATCGAAAAAACTGCATACAAAAGACCAGTTTTCTTTTGAATTTTTTTTCAAATTAAAAAGAGTTCTTCCTGGGATTTGTTTATTCAAGCAAAAGTAAAAGTAGATTTGTTTGTCGTTCTTCAGAGAAACAAATTACCATGGGGTGTGGTAGGTAAATTGGTTTTTCAACAACACGAAAAATGTATCAAGAAGTGGAGTTTCTAGTTGGAATTTAATTACGAGGAATAGAAGAAAATCGGCCAATAAATTCGTGACTAGCTTTTGAGAGTCGTGCGAAAAGGAATGCGAAAAGCCATTTTGATGTCATAACGAAACTAAAGCAGAGAACAGGCTTATCGGTAGATAGATGATTACGGCTATTTGTCACGACAGGGAATCAATAGGATCAAGTTTGCTAGATACTCTTTAGTTCCCAAATAATAACCAATTTAGCCTGAGTGATTGCGGTTCGATAGAGATATTTGTAACTTGTGTTGTGGTTGAGAACATTAGAACAATTTAGTTGCGTAAAATGACAAAATTGATTCGGAAAATTACAGAAATTAGTTGCGAGGCGAGTCATTAGAGCCGGCTAATTGGTTGTAATGTTCAGATCGACTCAAGGGTAGTATAATACTACAGATCTTTAGCTAATCTCAGGTATTCAAATCACAGTCATAGAAACGTGTTTTAAAGCTATGATACGGGCTTATAGAAATAAATGAATGAAATTACAAAGAAATTTGAAAAATAAATAGAGGAAATGCTACAGAGAGAAAAATTATCTCAAGAACATATAAAAACAAAATCCCACATTCTGAAAGGTTCACTTAAAAACAACCTATGATTACTATCGTGGTATTTTATCAAGAAAACTTAAAACCCATAAAAGTAAAAGCCAATTTATCCTCTTTCTTAGTGACAACAATCATGATTACTTGGTTCAGTAATTGTCATGAAGAGAAGGATACTGTTTTTTAAACCATGTCATTGAAGCGAATCGAAACCATACGATTTTCTCCTTGTTCACTCATTAATTGTTGCTACTTAATTGCGAGGTGCTTCCGAACAGAAAATTGTTCCTTTGGGTTGATAAAGCGATACTTAATGAATGTTAATCGGAGAAGCCAGGTGTTTTTTCGGTGTGGATAATGAGAAAGCGTGAGACAGTGCATATTGAGATGGGACAAGATTCTCCGGTTTACGACCGGCCACAATAGCATTAATTAACTCGGTAGGCACAATAAAGACATGGACAAAAGGGATTTACTCGCTTTCAAGACATATGGCTAAGAGCATAGCAGCAAAATAACTAGGGTTTCACTATTCAAAAGGTATCTTTGCCCAGCAAAAACAAAAAGAGCTCAAAAATCAATAGATTTGAGCGTCTTTTCGCGGCGCGCCATAAATATGTCAGGGGAATTTCCACGGCAGTCCTGTTTATTTCTCCTTATTACTCTCGAATATTCACTTGGACAAACTATTTATTTTCTATCACTAGTTAATGGCCCTAATTTCTCTCATTAGTGCTGTCGGGCCGTCTCTCAAGCACTTGGGATCATATTTGATTTAAAGGGATAGCTAAAGATTTGTTTGTTTATTGTCAAATCATAATAGGCTAGGCCTTTTGAATTTGCTGTGGATTTGGTACCCTAATCAGTTTGACCAATGAGTCCAATCCACAACAAAGAGACGCATATTTCCTGTCCCGATCTATCGTTTAGCAACTGTAAATTACCAAATTAACAACAGGGTCTAATTCAACACTTGGCCTATAAAAGATTGTCCGGTCAAGACGAGGGCTAATACTCAAGGCAATTCTCCTCAGAAATCAAACATAGCTTTCCGAGAGATAAAACAAGAGAAGCTCTTCAGTCAGTGATTTAGTCGAGTCGTGGCTGAAATACCAAGTGTAGAAAGAAGGATGCAACCCTACGGTGGACATTATTTGTGCCCTTATTTCACTTGCACATCTCCTTACTGCATTGCAATAAGGTCCAATATCACTTCAGCATCTTCAGTGCCTTTGAATCGAAGCCCCACAAGTTCGTCTGCAAACTCGGGATCGGCGGCTACTTCATTTTCGATTTCTTCAATTCTTTCACGCTCGGACGAGAGCAATGAAGCAAAAGAGGTTACAGGTGACTTGCATTCGCCAACCAAGGCTGAGACGTCGATATCTTTGGGGTCATATAAACATTACTCAATGGAAAGATTTCACCCTTATCATTCCTCTCTTGGTGTCAGCGCATTCACAAGAGCAGGAGGATGTAGCACCATTCAGAAAGGTAAGACTTTAAAAGTGATATCTTCAACTCAGTTAACTTTCCCAAAAACTTTAACAATTTCTCACGCGTTAAGCAGTGAAGGGTTTTAAATAACAGCTATCTTTTTCTGTTCATTCAGCCTCTTTGTACGAAAGAAAGGCAAACAAGATGATTGATTGGTGATTTTCTCGGTAAATCACAGACAAATACGAGATCTTTTTCAAATGAACAAGTCATGAATCCCTGTGTACTTGGTACATGATCGCACCAGTAAAATGATTTCGTTTTTATTCATTTAATCTTTACAATGTGTTCTCAGTTTCTTAATTCGCTCGTCCTGTATCAAAATCGTCACTCAAATCATTCGCTCCGCAGTGTCAGTCTCGCGGAGTTTAGCGAGGTTCGTTCGGCAAATGAGACAAAATAGACATAATAAAGTTGAAAATGTTTCACGCAAATCCCATACGAAAAGAAAGTCCTGAAATCTTTCCCGAAATTTTCAGTGTAATCAGTACTACATTTGAGCTAAATATTTCTGTTAATTTCGGAGTTAGAAAAGGGAAAATGAAAATTATCTTATTACTCTTTTGTAATTTAACAACAATCAAATTATTTGTTCCTTTTTTTAGTATTTTTATCTCTTTTTTTATAGTAGTTGTTAGAAAAAATGAAGCTAAAGATGTACACTACACGCCTTATAAATAGAGAATTGTAAGCCCGTGTTTCTTAAAGTTTGTCTTGTTTTTCTTTAACTCTAGATGGTGATATTGTACTATCGACAATCTCTCGCCACGAGGAAAGCAAACCCTGGAACTTCAAGCAAGGAAAACCAAAGCGAATACGCACAATTTTCACACCAGAACAACTCGAAAGACTCGAAAAAGAGTTTGAACGACAACAATACATGGTCGGCGCTGAGAGACACTATCTTGCTGCTTCGCTTAACCTAACAGAAACACAAGTTAAAGTTTGGTTTCAGAATCGAAGAATAAAATGGAGGAAGCAGAAACTGGACAGACAGAATGCGAGCAGCTAACTCGATTTTGTCCCAATCATAATTCAGTTAATTTTTGCGCTTAAATGAGACGCTCATCTCTATGAGAGATATGTATGATTCTACAAATTGTGTCATTATTTGAACACTAAAAGAATATGGTTCAGCCAGAGGCAAGATAAGGGACAAGCCTGGGCTATTTTCCTCTTGTAACCCAAACACGGCATATCACATGGCGATCAAAAAAACCCACAATATTTTATCTTAATTTGCTCAAAGTGAGCCGTGATTATCCTCCCATTTCTCTTTCGAATATATCTGATTTTGTGGTGAAAACCAAACGTGGTCCATAATCGGCCTATTACTTAACATCAACCCGCGTAATAGACAGATTATTTACAGAGAAGGTTTCTTAGAGAATGATTAGTAGTTCGAGGCAGTTTTGGCAAGCCAGCCGGTCATGAACTTGTTACCAAACATGATTAGATTGTTTGGACTTTAAGGGGCCCCTTATAGATGAGGCTCATCAAGAGAACCACTATATTTCGTGATGTGTCTTCCGATTGTTTAAATAAATAAATTGAAGCAGTTGTTTTGAGCCGACAAGATTCTTAATTTTTACGACTCATCTTGTCAAATGATTCGCTCAATAAAGGGGTAGTAGAAATAGATAATACCTTTTCGAAACTAAACAAATAATAAAGTGTATCAAAAAATTAATGTGATACCAAGTGTTTTTCATATTTTTGTGTGTTCGTTACTATAAACACCCAAGCGATACAGCTAACAATGTTAAACAGGGAATTAGAAAAAAAATTGTTTAAAATCAGTCCTCCTTTAATTCCGGTCTTTATCGCTTCTTGACTGAATAATTTCCTCTTATTTTATGAACTTTTCCCGACAGATTTCAATTAGACTCAGGTTTTAGGAAATATATATTTCTTCATCGATTCCCATCCCTCAGTGTGGACCGTGATGACACGGTTGCTTTGAATGAGCTTTTTGATGGTCAGTCGTTCAGGAGACGAAAAATGTTAACCGGGAATGCGAAGATAGCTGACAATGGTCTCTTAGGCTATTGTTCTGGAGCTCAATACAGTATCAATCACTTATGTAATTATTATAAACCAGTCAGAACGAAACAAAAGATTCCTGACGCTGGTTTTAAATTAATAGAACAGAAATAGCCAACACTTAGAGAGGGAGGAAAAAAACGTTTCGCGAACAAAAAAGGGACTTGAATCATTATAAAAGGCAAAAAAAGGGCTTTAAAAAGTCATCATTTTGGAAGGACAGTCGAAAACACCTGACTTCGAAAAGAGGAGTTGAAACAATCTCGAATGATCTTAATTGATTGAACTAATAAGTGATACAAATAAATAAGTTCAAAATGAATTAGTCAGGCTAATTAGACTAATTTCCTATCAACCTCTCAGATTTAATCAAATCACCATTAAACACAGTTTCAAGTTCTCATCTTTCCTCCGCGCTCAGTCGTCAATTTATTTCTCAGAAAAATTCTATCAAGTCGCACATGGGATTGAAACAAGCGTAAGATCGATTACCGAGAGACAGTTTGGCGTGTAAGGCTTTGGCAGATCGAATAACGCGACGTGTTTGACACTTCCATCCGCGTAATACATGGATTATCCAGAATGATCTACAAATACTACTCCTATAATTGAAAGGGGATCTGACAGACTAGATTTGTTTAATATTGTATCACGTTATTATGCTAGATGCACTTATCCCAAGGTGAATTAAACGCTTTCAATAAAGCTCCAACCGTAAACTACATCCATGCACCTGTGTAATTATCCATCCACCCTACGGGGCCGATAACACAGCAATATTGATAACTACCTCACATAAAAAAATGAAACACTTTATTGACACTCACGATTCAAAATATTTTCTGCTATAGTGACCTTAACCTTTCATTATCCAATTTTCATTGCATTTGGCTATTTTGTGACACTGATCCTTCATGAGGATATTCAGTTAAAAAAGCACATGAATAAAGGTTGAACTTTGTAAGGCCGATCGGATATAAAGCGACAATGATAATGCAGATTAGAAAGTTCACGATGTTCAATTATTTGTTTGAATGATTTTAGCTTCCCTCCTGTGCGAGTTATAATGGTCGGGCTCAGTAAAGATTTAAGACCTTGAACGAACTGAGATAATCCCGCAAAGTTTAAGACAACACAAGCTTCTGCGAGGCACTTTCTTTTCTATACAATTAAACCTATGTGTTTTGGTTCTAATTTTTCGTCTTTCTAAATTCAATTATTCAATACTTTTCCAGTTCAATCGTAAATTGGGCCAAACCCTGAGTAAACACCAACTTTCATAGAATCTTCTAGTAGTAACTTCAAAAGACCTGTCACGTCAGGATCTAGTTCCCTAAACTTTATATGAAATAAATGAAGCCATTAAAAGAAACTAATGCCAAAGTTTTATTCTTTGAACTGGTCATGAAGCAAAAATGAAGGACGAATATTACTAAGGTAAAGATAAAGCTATAAATATAGGCTCTGTCATCTCAGTTTTGCGAGAAAAAACTAATAAAGTAAAATTAGTCTGTTATTAGTATCAGAAAAGCGACATGCTGTAGTGATGTTAGGAAATGTGGCCCAATTCGTCCTGGGGTGCCATGGGAAATGACGGAAAAGAAAAGAGGAAAAGAGGTCATTTTTGAATGGTTTTTGCGCCCTAGGGCGAGTAAGGCAGGTTAACGAATTATCGGTGAAGGAAATGAGCCCTAAGACGAAATATCCTAAAAAATGAACAGTAATTAAAGGATGTAAGGACAGTCTAATTAGAGACGAAAGAAAAGTCAACCAGGAAACAAAGAGAAAAAGGAGGAATCAAACAGAGAAAAGAACAAGAGCCGACACCAAAGTAATAGAAGAGGAAAAAACAAGTAAAGAAAAGGAGAAAAATAAAAAAAGAGGAAAAACTTATAAAGGAAAAAGAGAAAAAAAAAGTTCCACCCATGATGCATTGCGGTATTAGTTCACTGACCACAGAGTTTGCGGGCTCATGTTGACAAAGTTCGAATTTCAACCCATAAAAATGCCTTATTTACTACGTAGTATATCCCATAGATTGCTTTACTAAATGATTTCAAGGACTAACTTCTTCAAGACAGTAGCATATCAAATGTCTCGAGTGTTTGCAATATCGGATCTGCATGTGGATATACCAGAGAACCTGGAATGGGTCAAATCATTATCGACTACTAACTATAAACGAGATGTTCTTATTGTTGCTGGAGACGTCACTGATGACATAAATTTACTAAAATACACTTTACAAAATCTAAAACATAAATTTTCCGACGTCTGTTATGTACCAGGTAAAAGTTTTGTTTTTATTTCAGTGTAATTCTAGAGCGCGTAGTTTTTCTACTAGCTTTTGTTTCACATCTTTTCTCTTTTTATTTCCCACTGACAGTGATGGGGATGGCAAGAGATTGAGGGAAGGGTTTAGAACCTCGTTCAACAGAGCCATTATTTCTTGCTTGATTATTTTGCTGAGCATGCGCAGTAAGAAATAGGAACAAGATTGTCCAGTAAGGTTTAGTGTAAAGAGGCCTACTCATTACCATAAGTTTATTTTCATTTTGGGAGGTTATCCATATCGGTTGCTAATCTGTTTATCACAACATTGGCAGGTACTATGGTAGACAGTAATAGTTGGCTGTTAGCTTTGAAAAAAAAGGAAGAAAAAAAAAATTAATGCTCAACAGCTATTTATCAATTACTTTGAAGGAAATCATGAACTGTGGATACGGCCAAGAAAAAACGAAACTGTAGAATACCAAGATTCACTGGAGAAGTTCAATGCAATAGTCTTACTATGTGAACAGATAGGTGTGCATACTAAACCCTTCAGAGTTGATGACGTCAAACACCCTGTAGCCATAGTACCACTTTTCTCCTGGTACGCCCAACCAGAAGAGGATCAAACAGATACTTTATATGTACACAGAGAAATAGAGGACAAAGAGTTGACAAAAATGGCCTGGATGGACAATAGGTTCTGTGTTTGGAATTCTATGAAGGAATTTCCAGCAAAGTATTTTGCAAGGTTGAATGATGAAAGAGTGAGCTTTAGATACGAGTGTCCTGTGATCTCTTTTAGCCACTTTGTGCCTCGGTATGATCTCATACCTGCTTCATTGCAGGATTTAGAGAGAGTGTGCAATGAAAGACAAAGAATGGGTCTACAAGACCTTGATGAACCGAACACTCAAGGAGCCAATGTCAAATTTAATTTCAGTCGATATGCAGGGTGTAAAAAAATAGATGAGCAAATTAGACGTCTTAAATCAACGATTCACGTCTTTGGCCATCAGCATCGAAATAGGGACTGTGTTATTGATAGTGTAAGGTATTTATCATTCTGTCTTGGCTACCCCAATGAAAGAGGTATGGGGCTGATGTGGGGGATGATGGAACATTCTGGTCCTCGGCAGATTTGGCCATCATCATCATAATAGGGACTGTGTTATTAGTAGTGTAAGGTATTTATCATTCTGTCTTGGCTACCCCAGGGAAAGAGGTATGAGGCTGATGTGGGGGATGTTGGAGCATTCTGGTCCTCGGCAGATTTGACCATCATCATCATATAATAGGGACTGTGTTATTGATAGTGTAAGGTATTTATCATTCTGTCTTGGCTACCCCAATGAAAGAGGTATGGGGCTGATGTGGGGGATGTTAGAGCATTCTGGTCCTTGGCAGATTTGGCCTTTATCATCATAATAGGGACTGTGTTATTGATAGGGTAGTTCATATTATTTTGCAGGCTCAGGGAGTGGGGTTTATTGCTAATAGGGGGATATTTTTCTGCCAATTTTCCAAACAAAAGAATTTTTTATTCTTATAAAAGTCATTATATATTGTGGTCTAGGTGGGGTACAAACAACACCAATGAGGCATGATGAACAAAATATATTTGTACCCAAGCTAGACCACAATGCACCATGTTTGCTATTCCAGAAAATGTCTAAGATTGTGTTTTCTAACATGTTTTTAAAAATCTCATACTTTTTTTGTGGAATTAGTTTTATTTTCTTAATAAAGAATGATTCCATTTTGATTTTGATGTCTATTCTAATTAATACTGTTTATATAAAATATTATTTTCAGTCCATGTTTATTGTCATTCATTTTAGAGATGTAAAATCCTCGAGTTTCTCTTCTAGTTTTACTTGGCAGAGTAACCCTTGCCACCATATTTTTTTAAAAAAGATTCAGTTTTTAAAATTTTCAGGAATATGGTTTCTTATTGTAAATGTGTTGAGGTATCTTTCTGTTTCGGTGTAGATATTAGTTTTGGGTTATAAAAACTAGTTTCTCAAGAATGAACAGACAAAATGATCTAATGAACCACTAATAAAATCTATATTCTTCATGGCAAGTGCTGCTATTCTCCATGAGTGGCTGACATCTCATGGAAATCAGATTCCTTATGCAAGAAATACTTGAAAAACTCGTAGACAGACCAGCAGATTGCACATGATGGCATCTGATAGATTACTCTGGCTTGAAGTCCTTGAAAGTAGCCAGAGATGCCACGCATATGGTAAATAGTCCGAAAGGCATTATACATGCCACTCACATACACAACATGTCCTCGGTTTTTCCCCACAAGGGCAACTACTTCAGTTTCTTGGGTGTTAAGCAATGTCTTTGCTACATCAAGTGGTGTAGTAATGGCAGAAGCAACAGCCCCTGCAGTGGCTCCTGCGATAACATGAGTCTTTGGATCGTAAGTATTTGCAGGATTCAACTTTTCTCGAGCTAATTCATATACCATGAAATGCAAAGTCTGAAATGGTATGTTCATTGAAAGTTGGGTTGTGTAGCTGCGATAGAATGCTTTTATTCCTTCTTGTTTCAGCACAGTTGCAGCACAGTGGATTACTCCTCGATATGGACTGCCATACATCTGAAGTCTTTGCTTGATAACTTTGTTTGAAGCCAAAGAGAAAGAAAAAAAATGTATCATTAGCAATGTTGTATTTGTCTTTCTGAACTACAAAGGGAGGCTTTTATTGACCTAATGGTCGGTGCACATGGATAAGGGGCTGAATTTTGGGTGGGAGGGGGGGAGGGTGTTTGGAAAACTATTGTCATGACAAGTTGAAAGTTCAAATCCCAATAACCATCTTTTTATCAGTCCATTTTTCATGGGTTACTGCCATTTTCATAAACATGCGAAGTTAATAGCTGTAAACTGCACACTGAAATTTGATTTTTTGCTTCCACAAGTTAAAATAAATAAGGTAATGACTGATTAGTTTTGATTCACGGAGGTGAAAATCCAAATTTCATCTTGCAGCTACCGTGTTTGTTTATGAAAAGAGCAGTAATTGGAACTTAGCCACTGATGAGCTGGCAAAGCACCAATATAACCAAACACGTAATAAGAAAATTCCATACTTGAAACCAATTCAGATCAGATGAAAGGCAATGCTAGTATTTTAACAAGTTAATGTAGTTAACTTTAATGCAAAAATCAACTCCTAAATTCCAATTGGGATGACAGTGGATGAATAGCTACTCTGTAGAAATGCCACTGTTAAATCCCATTTATTTATTTATTTTCATTAATTTTTTTAGCTCATGTAAGTTATAATATCATTATCATTAAATAAAAGAAAAACCCACCCTCAACTGGATTCATAGCACCATCGTGGAACACAGTAGCACACACTCCAGCAACTCCTGCAAAAAATAGAGAAGCAGCAGCCAAATGGCAAACATGCAAGGCAAGCATTAATGACAAAATACGACCTACTTGAGACCATACTAAGCCAATAAAGGAAGCCAAACTAATAGAAGGACCAGCCTCTGTCCCCTCCGTCCACTTTTTACATGAAAAGGTATATCTTGATTTGGGAAATTAATTCTTTAACTCCTCTCCTTTCATAGTTAATTGTTATACATTTTTTTCTATTCTCAACCAATGATTTTGATGGAGCAAATAATATCTGGATCAAGACCAATCTAAAACGAATTCCTTCACAAAACATGAATCCAGTCTAGAATGAAGTTGCTTGGTGTAAGTATAAATTGGATAATGAAGATAAGTTAAGTACCCAGTCTAGCTTGGGCACAAACATCTTTTATTCATCATGATACTGTATATGATATTATTTGTACCCAAGCTAGACCACAATGCATCATGTTTATCACACTCAGAAAACGTCTATAGAGATAGCCATCCATTAAATATCTATTGCATTTGCCATTGGAGCTATTGAGCTTATTCCCTTGTTTTTGCACTGCGCATTTTTCTGCACATAGCTGGACTTACCATAAGAAAAAGCACTATACTCTTTTTTGTTTCCTTTAAGGGTCTTCTTAACATATTCGTAGGAGCTGAAGTACAAAGCATGTGCAGGACCAGCTCCTATGGCAACAACATTCATACCCCGCAGAGGAGAAAAGAGACCTTCTGTTTTGATCATGCTTTTCAGTGCATGGACCAAGTTCCTGTACCTTGCATTAGGGTTGGGTTTCAGGCTTTGCATGCGTGTCTGTAAAGCAAGGAATTAGAATTCACTTAATATATTCTAGTTTCAAGGCACAGTATTCTAATGACACAATTTTCATAGGTGTTGTACACAAATTTGATAGAAGTCGAGACACAAGAAATACAATGTTTTGCAGGTAGCCCAAGTTTAATTGCAAAATTTTAATGGCACTGCATTGCAGTCATGTCATCATGTGCTGGTGGCAGGCTTGTGATAGGTATGTATGACATATGACTGATATTCCTATCCAGCTGAGTGCTGAAATAAGTGCGAAAAGCATAAGTTTAAAAAAAAGGAATTCCTTAAGCATTTTTGGGGCTTGAAAAAACAAAGCACACTGCAGCGTTAAAGTGAAAACAAGTTGAAAGTTATATTTGCACTTTTGCACTTATGCCTCTGGTCTGTGGAATTTGTTCCACATTGGCCATTAATATCAAAATATACACAAAAACAATCAGATTTGAACATCTTTAATAAATCTTGCTATAATGATGAATATAATTTGTTCACTTTAGATACTGACACTGATATTCTCTGTGGACCTGTTTTTTTCCATCTGGTCAATATGGAACTATATTTCATTTACATATTTTCGCCTCCATTCAATTACTCTTTCAAAGATTAAGGAACGGCTCACCTTAACACAAGGTGTTCAAATTGTTTTAATTTTTCCTTTCCATATTTCTTACTTCTTGTATGCGCTTATTTTATATTTTAGTCAAAAGAAAACAGAAAAAATATGCAAAACTGTTGGGTTACAGTAGTCTGGCAATTAGGGCCAGTGGCAAAAAAACTAAACATGCTGTGATTGGCTGAAACAAAACAGCTCAGCTGGATTAGTATAATGTGTCATAGACTTATCCAAAACGTTTTTTGCTTGGGCTTCCTGTGTTAGTGCCCATCTTGAAATAATCGAATTTCTAATTACAGATTAAAAATATATTATTTTAGAATACAGATATGAATTTACAAATATTTATTATTGAGCAAGCATGACCGAAGATTTTTTCTGCAATTAGCCTAAATAATTTATAATTTAAGCACACTACACGTGAAATAAAATATTACGACACTCCACTCTGTTTGGTATCGAAAATGAAGATAAATCTATCGAAGTTTACTCTCAACCTCGCTCAGTAAGATATAAAACTAGTTCATTTTAATAAAATTACGACCTAAATCAATACAACTCACTACAAAGGGCGAAGAAAGTGAGTTTTTTTCGCTGCTAGGGCAGAATATTTATATCTGAGTTACGCAATGTGATTGATTTGAATAATTCGAACTTTCCTAACGCACCGATCAATGGAAAAGGTTAGATTTCGACATTGGATACGAAATTAGAGAGGGAAAATTATTCTTGGAAATTAAAGAAAATATTCTGTTATAAGTCGATAAACATGGCTTCAATCAATAAACTCTCAAAGTTATAAGTTTACCAGGGAGTTTAGTAAATGAATAGTTGAGTTTACAGAATGGCTACGATCGAGAATATTCTGACAAATAAATAGCACCTTGCTGGTTTGTACCTTATATCAAGCAAGATACATCAGTAAACCAGTCTTTTTTAACCCAAAGTTTCACTACAAAGCCATAGAACACGGTAGAATATTATTATTGAAGTCTATACCTTAACACAGTCCACAGGGTACATGACACAGTGTTCCATCACACCAGCCATTCCTCCCGCCATCAAATGAATCGTCACACGCTCCGTTGGTAAGTTCTCGTAGTCATTATCCTCCATGCTAGACAACAAGACTCCAATACCTTGGACTTCCTGCAAAAAAACTCAACGAAGTTTACTCTATTGGGTTGCCCGCCATCTTTAAAATTGGAGGTTTTGCTCAGTCTAACAAATGTGCATGACACAAATCTTGATTGACCAATCAGAGAGCGTTATTCCTTCACGTTGCAGGTCAATAAATCTCACGTGTTTAGTTGCACCGTACGATTACCGTACAATACTTTTCTCCCAAATTTAACCCAAAAATTAACCATTTTAACCTTAGACAATCTAGACAAATTTAAAAAAACAGCGATAGAGGGAGAGTTTTTACAGATTTAAAAGAAGAGAGAAGAGAGTCTTTTTTTAAAAAAAAGGGCGATCATTGACGTGGGATTACTAGTCCCACGCAAAAAAGAACAAAATCATTTAAAAAATACTCAGAAAAATAAAATCATTTAGATTTGCATCCTTGTTTTAATTGTTTATATATAATTTTCTTGCACTCTTAGATAGAAGCCATTATCAAAGTTGACTATCTTGATCATTGAAGCAAAGAGTGATACTAGCCGAAATGCAAATTACGCCCTGCCAAAAATCGCAAATACTGTAATAAAAGCTCCAAATATTCCAAAACATTTTGTTCCATTAGTTCGGTGAACTTTCGCTAGCTGTCAAAACTGTTTTCCTTGATCTTTTTTCGCTGTCGACTGCTAGGGTAACCTAGGGTGGAAGATGGAAACTTTGCTACGCTCTAGTTAGCAAAATTTCCATCTCTCCTCTCTGCTTTGCTTGGGCTTCTGCCAGCTTTGCGCGCGACATAAAACTAAGATGGTTGCAAACCCCTCGACGCAGGCTAGGGTTAAATGCCTAACTACTAAAACAGGTTTACGAAAGGATTTATAATATCAAATAATTTTATTATGCTGGAAATATAAATTTTTTTAATGTTTTACTAGAACAATGCTTGTATTGAAGCCTATCAACTGTTAATTAAATGAATCACTGATTACAGCAATCGAATTTTCAAGCAAGTTAAATCATAACTATATGATGCAGATGATGGTGTTTGCATTAATTTTGATATAATTTTGATCAACCGCGAGCGAACGTACAATTTGAGGCTCTTTATCATAATTGGATGACGTTAGCAGACTACAGCTGCTTCTTGAGCGCCCAAAAAAACAACTAAACCTCCCTGCAACTTCTAGCAATCGACGACTAAGATACTTCCAGTTGTTTGATTTGATTTTCTGAATCCGAGCTTCAACATTCGTACTTTTTAGAAACTTTTTTGCACAATGTTTGCTGACGAGACGAATGACAGGGGCTTCCAAACAGCATTTGCATCGAGACTTATACCTACCTGGGATTCAGTCAAAGCCATTTTAATTTGCAGGAAAAAGCTTCTTCAAAAATGTCTTGGTAGACTCCACACCAAATAATCTATGAAGAATACTGAGCTTTTTTTCAAGCCTCGTAGCTTGAAAAGACAGCAAGAAAGAGTCTTCTAAAACTCCAGCCAGCGAGAAAGTGATGTTACGTAACCCACTACTACGGTCACTAACACTAGCTGTCAGAATCGAGGAGTGGCCTAATGAAAGATGACACCTTATACGCAAAGGCTACCAAATACCTACTCATTACAAAAGCAATCCCCAGACAAAGACATTAAAGAAAAATTGAAAATTTAATTTCAATTTCATGTATATCAAAATATATACATTCTCTTTTAGTAAATAATATTTTCTTTTAATATATCCGAAATGCAACGATGCACGGAAATCTTAATAACAACCTTGAATTTTCATTTTGTACAAATAGTGACCCTTCACCCTTCATCAGACAAAACGTCTTGTTGGCGCTGGTGCTGAGCCTTTGAAGCAAAGGGTCAGTCTTCAGTAGTCGGCAGTTTTCCTTCTAATGTATTTTTCAAAAACTGGACGACATCCTAAAAGAAAACAATTAAAATTAATACCAAAAGAACAAAAGATGAAGAAAAGAATAGTTATTTCAGTACCTTTCTGTCAAAGGATTCTGCAAACTCAAGAGGTGTCCGTCCGTACTGTTCAAAACAATCAAAAATTGTTTTAGTAAATTTTTAAGATTTCAAAATGTCTAATGTAACTCAAAACTACGCAGCATGTAACTTGAAAGCCATCAAGTATCAAACTGTTTGCAACAACCTTTGTGGATCCAAAAAGACCCGAACAATTCCACACACATCATACACCGCACTTTTTCTCATTATATTCAGTATTTTAAAGTTTTTTTATGTTTTTCTTGCAACACCCAAATTTCCAATGGTCTGAATGTCTTAGGCCTAGGGCAAACGTCGAACTTTCCATGCACCGAACTCATTGAAACAATAGATATCAGGTGATAATGAGGCAGCATTCTTTGATGTAATTAACTCGGTGCATTGAAAGTTCGACGTTTGCCCTAGGCCTTAGTATTTTTTTGATAATTTATCGGCAGTCAAAAAACAGACGTCTGAAGTTATGAAGGTCACAGAAACAGGAAAAACAGGTTTAATGTTCAGATGCAAAGTGTTACGTATTCAGCTAACGTGCTTTATGAGCCTTATGACAACAGTAAGTGAAGTAATTTGATATTTTTGCAATTTTAGTGTGAATGTTTGCAAGGTTCTTCCATGGTTAGCCTGCGAAGCGGTTCTCCTTCCACGGTCCACTACACATCGATCATCAACAACCAGGCCAAGCCTCATTATAAATTCTGGTCACGTTTTGGCTTATTTTTCTTAATTTGGTGACAGATCTTATATTATTATAGCTTCATTAATATTAATTTTTGGTAAATAACTGTTTGGAGAGATCTGTGCCTTGCCCTATGCTCCCAAGGAGAGAAGAGGATAAGTAATTCAAATTTTTTAAAAGAAAATACTCTTGCAGTTCTGCCATTTTATTTTGTTTTTTTTATACATTTATTCATAAAATAAAATAATGGCATGCTTGTTGTTTTATGACCTAACTATGCTTTGAGCTTAGAATAATACGGGGGCAATGGAGAAGGGGAAGGTGCGGTGGCTTGGGAAGAGTATAGCCTCTCAACCTATTAATATCCACCAACAGGGCTGTAGCTGGACCGAAATAAATACTGTGGCAAACATGCGACAAAGAATGCACCCCCAGAACATTTTGAAATTGAGGCCCTCAGAATGCGATTTTCAGAGTTTTGAGGGGCATTTGTGGCATTTTAATAAGGCAACTGCCTTGCTTGCCCTGATCAAATGTCTACTCTCAGGTGGGCCTCCCCGCAATTAGACTCATAGATACTAGTGTACTATAATTTCAAATTTGAGCACCTCTTCTTGCTACGGCACTGGTATTACGAATAAAGCTTGCATATATGTTTTACTTGTTACCTTGTTGGTTAAGGTCAAACCTGCTCCCTTTTCCACCAACAGTTTACATACTTCTATGTTACCATTGACAGCTGCTGCCTATGGAAGAAAAAGTATCACAGGGTAGCACAATGACCCCCTTCTTCAAAGTTATTTTGCCACTGTTTTCATTGGTATACAATGCTGATCAAGAATGGCAGGAACATGGTGCATCCCTGTTTTCGGTTTATCTTACATATTTTTTCATTTTTCTTATATTTTTTCCCTGAAAGTTGGTCCGGTTTCAACCAGACCAACCATACTGAAGGTTACAGCCCTGAATAGGTTATTGTCAATCAATGTGTGGTTTGAGCATTACATACCATCAGGGGTGTGGTGCCCGTCTTGTCTGGTCTGTCTATTTGGGCTCCTCCTTCAATAAGTACCTTGGCAACTGCTGCTGATCCTCCAAGATTAGCTGCAGCATCAAAAATAACTTAAATTTTAAAAGACGTGCAATCATAGATGTTGCCATCAGGAAGAAGTCTTGGTTGGGTTTGGAAGAATTAAAATAATTAACAGCCAGATTTTAGAGTATCAAAGGAATCTTGAAACAATTATTATTATTGACATCAGGGCACAGTTGTATGAAGGGTGGAGAGCACTATCCGATGAATAAATCCTTATCCAGTGGATACATTTATTGGATAACAGCATCACTTTATCCACTGGATCCAAGGATTTATCCATCAGATAGCGCTATCCTCCCAGGATGTGAAAAAGTTACAGTGCACATCATAATGAACACAATAATATTGCCAGGCATCATACCAAGACTGGTCTTACGATAGACTGGGAATCCAGTGAATGCCTTTCTTTTTGTAACAATAGGCAGCAACGACTTGTGTTGGAGAGTTGGTTTACCAAGTTTGAGCATCATCCACTAAACCGCTCAATTAATTTACCAGCTCCGTATAATAGGCTTATTAGACCGGGGGGGGGTACTCCCCTATATTTGCTATACGGGTATGTGCCGCCCTATAGGGTATGGTTTTTCGGCTTTTGGGTCTGGGGTAGGGTATCATTTTTTGACATTTTGTCTGGGATAGGGTATCATTTTAGTCTGGAATAGGGTTTATGATTTGGTCATTTTTGTCTGGCGAATAGTCTACGCTTTCTGCCGGCACAAAAACAATAAAAACGTTAGTAAATATTGATTGCAATCTGTTGAAAAACGGTATTTTCCGTCTTTTAGTCTGAGATAGGGTGTACGATTCTTAGTTTTAGTCTGGGGTAGGGTATGTAAAATCAAATTTTTAGGTCTGGGATAGGGTCAGGGTTTTGGGGTCCTGGCGGCACACCCCTACCCAAGTTGGGGTGGTAGTACCCCCCCCCCCCCGGGCTTATTAGAAACAATAAAACCACCCACAACACCGAAACAGCGACTCACACTCATTAGACCGATGCCGCCAATTACGCTTCTTCATGTAATTAGGCTATTGTTATCGTGGCAGTATAAATATGACCAATCTGACTTTTATTCTTCACTTGACTCTGAAGATGACTTCCACTCAGGTTGTAGAAACATCAGTCACATCAAACAGTCCTTCTCAGGACTACATCCACCCGGATGATCATAATACTTCGATTAACATAAGAAGGAAAGTGCTTCTCCTGTCATTGTGAGGCCATGCTGTCATAGCTAAACCTCTCTCTTACTTTTGTGACCCATTCTCCCGATATATTTAATAGCATGCCTATTGACTAAAGCATCTTATACAAACCAAGTCTCATGAGGGGTGACCAACTTGAATCATCCAGTTCATCAACCTATAATAATGTAACAGACTAATACATTACACTCTGACACCATAATATCAAGCTTATATCCATAACACCAAGGCTGCAAAAAAGAGCCGAACACATTTTACCTCATTACAAGTTAACAAAAACAAATATTAAAGGATGGTTTATTGTAAGATATTTATTACTCACATTAGCCCCACATTCCAGAATCCATTTCACAATATCTTCCTTGTCACCATCAATTGCCCAGTGTAAAGCATTTGAACCTCCATGGTCTTTTGGGTCTAGAAGAGCTCCATGGTCCTTGAGGTAGGATGCTACAGATAGATGACCTCCAAAACAGGCTAACATCATACTGATGAAAGTAAAACAAGATTCGCAATAAATCAAAACAAATTTCTTTTGTCTGCCTTTTCATTAATCCTTCTGCACCTATTCAGCCACCCATCAACCTGTCTGTCTGCTATGTCCATCCATACATCAATCCACCCAACCACCCACCCACCAACGTGTCTGGCTGGCACCCAAACATCTAACATTATACACCCATACAGCTGTATATCTATCTATCTATTTATCAAACCAATGACCTGTCAACCACCATCTATCACTCCATCCATATCCATCATTACCTTGTCTTTCCACTAGCATTGCTATAATTCACTTGTGCACCATGCTCCACCAAAGTCTCTACAATACTACAAACAAGATGGATAACATTTAGAAAATAGAGCTGGTTATAAAGATGTTTGATATATGAAAGTGGATGCCCTTACCTGGAATACCCTTTCTGTGATGCAATCATAAGAGGCGACATCCCAAGATCATCAACAACATTGACGAGGGAATCCTCACTTAAAATATTGATTACAGCATCAGAAATCATAATGATAATAAAACATTGAATACATGAGGACAAAGAAACAATCAGATAAATGAATGACTTACTGCATAAATAAATAAACAATAACAAAGAAAGAAAGAAACCAATACATGCCCTTTATGTAAGGAAATACATGAATAAATAGAATGATCCTTAAAAATGCAAGAATGGTCATTAAATAACACACCTTTCATTTAAGAAAGCTTCAAGCTTATCAATTTCCCAATTGAGAATAGCCCTGTGGATGTCTCTACCTATTAATGGTACTTCTAAAACAGAAGATACAATGAATCACAAATCATCCATGCTACCCTAATTCAAATTTAATGACTTACTTGTTGTAGTTACAGTTATAACAGAGCTCCAGGGACTGTCCCCAAAATCATTGGACACACGCACACGATATTGATAGGTGTTATTTGGTTCTAGTCCTCTGAAAACATGGCTTCTTGAGAAACCACTTTAAATAGAGTGAGAAGAATAGGTGAGAATAAGTGAAATGGGAAATAAAGTGGATGTATGGTTAACAGAAATAAAGTAATGGGAAATCATGTAACTGCTATTTTCATAAACATGTAAGCTTGGTAGTTGCGAGCTGCATCTTGAAATTTGGCTTTTCGTTTCCGTCTATCAAAACTAATCAGTCGATACCTTTCATATTTTTGACTGGCTGGCAGAGAAAGACCAAATTCCAACAGGCAATTCTCAACTACAGAGTTTGCATGTTCATGAAAATATCAGTCAAGGTGCACATCACAATAAAATGGTAAAACTCAACTAATTATTCCTGTTAGACATAATCTAAAAGCATTTTTTAAATATTTAGACCAATATATTTGCTAGTTTTGTAATAAAACTTGAAGGTTGAATACCCAGGGGGTGCACTCGGGTGGGTAACATGACGGGAAGGTCTGACATATTTTTTTTGGTTGACAATTTTCGTTCCTGGTATTTTTTTGGGTCAAGAGACCAGCCATGTATTATTTTGGTTCTTGAAATGAAACCCGTATTTTTTTGGGTCGTTACATCTCCAAGTTTGATTTTTGTATCAGAAAATTATTTGAAGAGCCTGTTGAATTCAATAAATCAGTTTTGAAGTATTTAAGTCTTGTATTTTTTTGGTCAGAAATTTGGATGCCATATATTTTTTTGGGTGTAAGATTTCAGGTTTGAGTATTTTTTTTTGGTTGCAATATGAAGCTCCGTCGGACCCCCCCCCCATCATGTTACCCACCCGAGGACACCCCCTGGGGTTGAATAAAGATGGTCTTTAGTTTGATTTTATTACTTGTACACATTTCCAAATTCCTTGCGTTGTCTTTCCTCTTGTTCCTGGATGCAGTATCGTCGTCTTCCTCCCTGACTATTTTCACTTTCAATAGTAACATCTTGGTCCCAGTGTAATTCAACGATATCATGAGCAACTTTACCAACAACTGGGGGAGAGGGTTTATCAGGGGGCTCTGAAACAACATCAGATTAAGAAACACATGTAGATCTATTAATGAAAAGGTAAAAATAGAAATACAATAACTGGTCCTTGTTTTATGAGGGTAGCAGTTAATAGCTAATGGCTAACAAACCACTGTGGCCCTCTGAACTTAAAATTACAGCTGGACATAATATTGGAGAAATGTTTGCCAAGAACTGGAACTTGTCCGGTCAAATATTTACCTTGCCGGTCATTTTGACCTGTAACATTTGAGCCAGAAATGAAGTATGACCATGTTAAAACAGGCATTGCAAATGGTCAGTCAGTACATTCCTCTCCAACCCCCTCCCTCC